TGGGCCTTCAGAGTGTGAGTTTGGGCCTTGGTTTTGAACCAAGCTAGGATAGGGGTAAAATGGTCCATTTACCCCAAGTGTAGATTTATGGTTATGTATTGGAAACCAATTATTAATTGGGTGTTGTTTTGATGTTGACAGTTCGGGAACCTGTCCACCAGCAGCTAGGGTTTTATCCGCGGGACTTCAACAGTGCTAGGTGAGTCTCCTCACCATACCAATAGGTCTAAGGCACCAAGGCCTGCCCATTTTATGATATGTGATATGCTAGCTGATTATGTGGAGGACCTCGGGGGGTTCCACAGGCAGTAGACTAAGACCATGTGGGGGTTCCCATGGCAATTAGTTATATGTGTTATTTGGTATGCTAGCTATTATGTGATATGTGGTATGCTAGATATTTTTGTGATATGCTGTGTGCTAGATGACTATGTGTTGTTTGCATGGAAGACCTCGGGGGGTTCCCGAGGCAGTTGGATATAAGATCATGTGGGGGTTCCCATGGAATTCCAGGCTAAGACCATGTGGGGGTTCCCATGGCAGTGATCTAAGACCATGTGGGGATTCCCATGACATCCGGTGTAAGACCATGGAGGGTTTTCATGGCACCTTTATATGTTGTATGTATGGCTTATAGGGTTTGTATATGTGTACTGCTAATTGATTATGTGTTATGTTGACATGATATTGGTATGGAAGACCCCGGGGGGTTCCCGAGGCAGTTGGATATAAGACCATGTGGGGGTTCCCCTGGCTTTCCTGGTTAAGACCATGCGAGGGTTCCCATGGCAGTGGGCTAAGACCACATGGGGGTTCCAGTGGCACTCGGTGTAAGACCTTGGAGGGTTTCCATGGCTTCCCTATATGTTTATATGCATGGCTTGTGTAGTTGATATGATTTATGTGATTATGTGTATAAGACCTTGGAGGGTTTCCATGGCGTCTCTATATGTGTATATGCATGGTTATGTGATGGATATGGTTTATGCGATTATGTGGGGTATGCTCTGGGGAACTCACTAAGCTTCGTGCTTACAATTTTGTTTATGGTTTCAGGTATCATTGTTTTGGAAAGGAAGGGCTCAGCTTGATCGCAGTGCACACACCCGTGTTTCAGCAATATATGATTTTTGGACGAACTTTGATGAATGTTTTTAATTAATCATGTTTTTGGAATTTTTGAATTTAAAGATATATACGTTTTGACTGTATTGAAAAATGAAATTTTTACCCTTGATTTTTGGGTCGTTACATAATGGCTTATTAGTACGCATAGTCGTGTGCATCAGGATCCGGGTGTCGAGAAAATTTTTCGAATATACCGATGGATTGGATTTAATTCAAGGATTTCAAAAACCCGAACGGATTAGTTTTTGGAGTTACAGAATTCCGGGAAATCGCGTTTGAAGTTTTGCGTCACAACGGCTCTCGGTGTCTGTTTTCATGATTTTTTTAAATATTTTTACTAAAAATATTTCGAGTATGAAATTAAATAATAGGCTATAGTCTGATTCCAAAAACGCTCTCATAAATCACGTCGGCAATGTGTAAGTACATTAACGGTGTGAAATAGTTTACTTAGAACAGGTAAAACCAGCGTTATACTGGTTTCATTTCTTAAAACTATCGCATCTTTGGCATATGAACTCCGTTTTGGACTTTTTTATATTTTTGAAAATAGGGGAATACGTACTATGAGTCTAAAATAATTTCTTCGCTCAAAACTGCTTATTACGAATTTCCAGTTTTTCAAACGTATTAACTAGCGTTGTAGTTTAAGCGGTTTGATTGTTTGTCGATTCATACATTTAGAAGCAAAGTATCATCTGATATCATATAAAGTGGAATTGAAATTGTTTATATTTCCATAGATGAAATAAAACCGAACGAGTTAGGTTACTAACAGATTTTTCCGTAACTTAGTCGCTCTTAGTTTATGTCCTAAATTCCGGGATGTCATATTATTCCACTGAAACGAAATCCAGCACAAAACACGTGCGATACCCGACTCGAGATCATACCCAAAATCAATTCAATACTCCACTCACAACCCGAGATTCACGAATCTGCACTTGCAATTCACACCACAACCTTCCGATTTCCGGATGAACCCTCACCTGATCGAAAATAATTACCCCCAAACCATTTCTGAGACTACCAGTCTCGCACCTGGCCCAACCACCAGGTTCCTAAGCATACGAACAACAAGATTACCCAGCGTAAAAACCCCTCTGCGCCACACACTGACCCCCCCACATGATCCTGCAACTCAAGATCTGATACATTGACCCAACGGTCTCTACCAGGACCCACCTGATCTATCATCATCACACGAGCCTTGCCCATGGGTCCTACTCCTCTAAAGCTATACAGACCCGCCTCCGACCCGGACCTCAATGGTCCTCAAGAATACTCCTCGACAACCCTAACCGACGTGCCCTAGGAACGAAATGATTCCCCATCACGCTCGACCATTTCTAATAATGGTTTACCTTGAACTGGTGATTGCTACGATCCCATCGCAGTCTTATAACACCTCCAACCGACCATGGTTACCACTCATGGCCTTACCATACCCAAACCAACACAATACCATGCATCCTAAGCCGAATCCTGCAACCAAGCAGGAGTTCGGGTCAAGCATTGAACCCCACGGCCTAATATGAACAACAATGAAGATGCTGACTTGTGCTCAGGAGTTTCCTGAACCCCCTACCAACATAACCTCAATCTGAACTGCCACTTAACTCTCCCCCACATCGACTCGACGAAGGTTTCCCACCTTCTAATCCATATGGATTTCCGATCCATCTTTCTCAATTGGCGTGAACCGTCCATACCCTGCGCTGAACAATACTAGCGTTCCCTTACTAACCAAATTCATTGATAATCTGATTCCTGAAACTCTGATGTATACCCTTGAAATATCAACCTACCTGATAATCCATATCACCTCCCACGATACTATAAGCTCGAGATTGGCAAAAAAAACGATCAATTATAAGCTCGAGAGTGATTAATGTGGTTTGGACCACCTAATGTGCTTTTGGCCATCTAATGTGCTTTTGACTACCTTATATATATGTTAACCCATATACAGGTTACTGCCTATATATTTGCACCGCCATTGTGGATGGATGACATCCATACTTCAATCCTCCATTATTAGTTTTTGAGGTATACGTATAATTGACCACCATAAAAAAATCAAAAGGACGTATCATAAAAAAATCATTTAGTGTGCTTATGTGGCCGAAAAGGTAGTCAAAAGCACATTAATAATCTCGAGCTTATAATTGATCGTTTGTTTGCCAAATGGGTCGGTACAACCAAAACGTTATATATAAGATAGTAAGTTAGTCAAAAGCACATCAAACCACCTTGTTGGCCACGTATAAGCTTGAGATCGGCAAAAAAACGATCAATTATAAGCTCGAGAGTGATTAATGTGGTTTGGACCACCTAATGTGCTTTTGGCCATCTAATGTGCTTTTGACTACCTTATATATACGTTAACCCGTATACAGCTTACTGCCTATATATTTGCACCCCCATTGTGGATGGATGACATCCATACTTCAATCCTCCATTATTAGTTTTTGAGGTTTACATATAATTAACTACCATAAAAAAAATCAAAAGGACGTATCATAAAAAAATCATTTAGTGTACTTTGTACTTACGTTGCCGAAAAGGTAGTCAAAAGCACATTAGGTGGCCAAAAGCACATTAATCAATCGCAAGGTTATAATTGACCATTTGTTTGCCAAATGGGTCGGTACAACATTAAGGTTTTCTCTTTAGCATACCCTCTTATCTCCCTATAAGGGTGTGTGTGTCTGACCGAGTACATGTCGCCACATGGGTCGGTCAAACACACATCCTCGTTAATCTTACACCCATAATATATAGGAAGTAACCCATGTCAAAGGGTTCTTTTTGTTTTTCTTTTAATATTTTCATTTTTTATTAGAGATACTCATAAAAGTCGACATAAATAAGTGATTTTTAGAGAGTATTACAACGCAAGATATATGCATTTAAATTAAATATTTTATGTACAAATTGTAAATGCATTGCAACAAATATATTTTTTACATATTTAGCAAATTAAACTTTAACCGAAATAATCTGAATCTCATAAACTTTATCTTTAAGTTGGTACGTCATAAAAACCCAATACGATGTTGTTTTGATATTTAGTTTTGGTATGGTAATTATTCGATTTTTATATTTAAAAAAAAAACCAAATCAAGCTTAAAAATTCGAATTTTTCAAAAGCCAAAAACATTGTTGGTTTCTAGAACAACTCGATTCTTTTCGAGTTTGTTAATTTTACACACCTCTAAAATGGGAGCTATTATAACGCGAAATTGCTAATGACTAAACTTATGTTTGTTTAAAAGATAATTTCATAATTGGATATTGAAGACCACGTGCCTATTTAACATCTACGTGACAATTAGGGTCCTACTTTGGACACACCACTCTACACAACACCAACCTATATATTAGGTTTGCTTTTTAGGTGAATGAGGGTAATTATCATCATATAATTATTATTGACTTTACTTTTTAAATCATCATCACAATATAATTATTATTTGACCAACTTTTATTATTAGTTCATTATTACATAATCTATAAATCATTATTATTTAATAACTACATTTTTTACTAACTTAATTAATATTAATAATTTTATATTTATTTTTTATTAAGATAAAAAAATATAGTTTTTATAATATAATAACATATATAATATTATAAAAAAATAAATTATAAATAAATTTCCGTCAACCTAATATCATTGATATTATAAATAATATTATAAGAAATAAAATCCGAACAAATCTTCATCATTTTTTTTTAATTTTAAATATTACATAACAAAAATCTGAGACAAAAATAAACAACAATTAATCATCTATAGTCATAAAAGATATTTCCGTAGGTCTGAGTCACTTATAAAATTCTAGACGCGACTTATACATAGTTTGTCATTCGGCTGCGGACGGGTCTTTGTGGCGGATCCATAATGCTGAAATAGGAGGCATCAGATACTCTCCTTCTAACTGTACCATCACATAGTGATTGATGTATACAAGTGCAAATGTAAGGACACGATGATTTTGAAACTCACTAGGACCTCTCCATAGAGGGGAAAAGGTTACAGGGCCCACTGTGGTCAAAAATTGGACAATCACACCAAACCTGTAGGCTATCATGATACCTGTCTCAGGCATAAGCATATAGTGTTCTGGTGGTGCTGTCCTATCTGTCATGAAGAAAGACAATGAATCAAGTACTCCATTGCATCCAATGAAAACTCTAGAATAGTCTTCATATGACGTCAATAACTCATCATACAATTGCTGGCGAATGAAAAGCCACTCGGTGTCGGAGATTCGACTAATTTCTTCCACATTGGATGAAGAGAACCCCAAGACTTATCTGATTTGATACGTTTCCTACAATGCTTTGTTATATCGTTGAATATATGCCACCTACAAAGTAAATGATTACTTTGTGGAAAAACATCTTCGCACGCCTTCATCAACGCCAAATCTCTATCGGTGACGATGACACGAGGACAAAAAGAATCGTTAATCGTCAATTTCAAACAAGTCAATACCCACCTGTAGTTGCTTGTTTTTTCTCTATTCATGAATGCGAAGGCTATGGAAAACGTCAGTCTCGTAGAAGTGACACCAACAATCTACAGAAAAGGAATAATTATACTTGTTTGTTTCGTATGTAGCATCCATCAACACCACATACAGAAATGCTTGCCACATCTGTAACGATATTGGGTGCATAAAAAACAACTCCTCTAACTCGTTAGTGCTCTCGTTTAAACGATACTCATAATTATACCCTTTAGTATGCAAAATGTGCATGACATTTTGTATCGGGCTTCTACCTTCTCGTTGAGATATTGTAAACTTATGGCGACAATTGTATATAGTTTTCAGTGAAGACACGTTATTTTCATTTTGCTGCTTTATTGTTGACAAAATATCTAGTGGTTTAACATTCAGCTCTGTCAAATCATGGACCAAACGAGTCTCTTTATCCGACAATCGCATTGCAAATGAATGACCCTCCATATACATTGATGGTTCGTGATTGTGATCATCACGTACGACCTGTAACTTCCAACCATCTTGTGCCTTCAAATACTTTGCTATCAATTCGAATGGACAATTAATTTTTTTTGTTTTCGCATATTTACTTCTGGATATACCACTACGATCACAACAAAGAAATACTTTAGATTTGAATCCAAAAGTCGCTGCCTTCGATCGTTTAGTGACTGTAACATAACCTTGAGAACGTGCAATATTTTGTACCCAATTCTTCAAATCTTCAAGAGATCTAAAAACCTAAAAATTAAGAGAAAAATTTAATGTTAAAAAATCGATAAATATATCAAATAAATATACACATATAAATATAAGATTAGAAATTATACTTCATCGGTAGAAAAATCCGAAATAATAGCCATTTTTTCCTGCAAAATTGAAATAAAACTAAAAAAAACTTAATAAAAAACCGATTAAAAAAATTAATTAAAAAATAATTAAAAAAAATAATTAAAAAATGATATCGTAAATACATGCCATATAAACTAATTATGCTACCATATTTGAGAAAATGATTGTCATATAAACTAATTTGCATGTAAGGTGGTCCATGGTGGTTTTTTTAACCATAAAATTCATATTAACAAATTGATTTGTATGGTATGTAAATAAAAAATAATTCAACTTTTTATTTTCAAACTAGAATTTAGTTTTAAAAATTTAGTGAATATGGAATCATCAAATTCAAAATTGGACGTCCATTAATTTTCGATTTCAAAATTTAAATTTATGGTTAATTTATTCATTATTATAATATTAATACTATATTTAATGTTTCGTTGAAATTCCTTTTATAGATACTTTTTGAAAGTAAATAAAATAATGCAGAAAGTATAAAAAGGTTTAAATTTAAGGTTTCTAAAATGAAACATATTCAAATTTTGGGGGGCTGTTTATATAAAATGATAAGATATAAAGGCTTACTTTGATCGAGCCCTAGCAAAAATGTTTCAGCCGCCAAAACTGAGAGCCAGAGATGTCCGATGCGATTTGCAGCGATGAAGCTATTTCCGGCGACGACAAAATTTCTGGCGACGACGGTCGGTTTCACGGTGCAACATTCATAGCCACTAGCCACTGGTTTGATGCTTCGACGGCGGACTTTCTCACGGTGCTATTTTTCTCGTTCTTTCTTTCCGGCGATCTATTGTTTTTTCTCCGACGTAAATGATGATTCTCGCTTTTCTCATTCTGGTCTAGGTGGTTCACGATGGTAAATGGTGGTTCCGATGGTCTTTTCTCACGATCTCTCTTTCTCTCGTTTTGTCTCCGGCATTATTTGGTTACCGCCGGTTAGTTGTTGTCGGCGGCAGTTCTTTGGTTGAAGCTGATTCCGATGGTGAACAGTTTTTTTTTTTTTTTTAATATTGTTAATATACTGTTTAGATGATTCATTTTCTGTTTATATAAAATGTGGTGGTTTATTGGAAGTTTAAATGGATTAATGATGTTCAGTGTTCAATATAACTATATTTTGTAGTTTGTTCATATTCTGATAATTTAGTTTTTTTAGAAATAAAACACAGTCTTCAAAACATAAATATTGAGAATATACAATAAAAAGGTGAATAAATCTGAATTGAATGCTTTCTATATAATACTTGCCCATTGGATACAAATCCTTGAAATAAGAAAAAGCTGTCAAAAAATCAGATAAAAGTCAAAATAGGTTAGATTGGTGTGTGGGATAGATTGATGTGTATAAAGAAATAGCTTACAATTATCTAAAGGTTTATGAATTGAGAGGGTAATCGGTTGTTCTCCATGTGTGTGTGTGTGTGTGTGTATATATATATATATATATATATATATATATATATAGGTTCAGGTTAATTTGAGATCATTCTAATTTTGTGAAACCGTGAGACCAAATCTAAAAATAATTTTAAAATGCAAAATAAATGGAAAAATCCAAAAATTCTTTTTTTAAATATTATTTTCGGAACTTGAATTAACTAAAAAAATAAAAATAAAAAAATAAAAAAAATCCCGTTTTTTTTTTAAAAAATACGTGAAATATTCTAATAGATTATTACACTGACATATTCTAAAAAATAATTTTAAAATGCAAAATAAATGAAAAAATCTAAAACTTCTTTTTTTAAATATTATTTTCGGAACTTGAATTAACTAAAAAAAATAAAAAAAAATCTCATTTTTTTTGAAAAATACGTGAAATATTCTAATAGAATATTACACTGTACATATTCTAAAAAATAATTTTAAAATGCAAAATAAATGGAAAAATCCAAAAATTCTTTTTTTAAATATTATTTTCGGAACTTGAATTAACTAAAAAAAATAAAAAAAATAAAAAAATGTGTCTCACGGTCTCACAAAATTAGGTCGTCTCACATGAACCTAACCCTATATATATATATATATATATATATATATATATATATATATATATATATATATATATATATATATATATATATAGAAAAGTTCAATAGAGAATCATTATTAATCAAGGAACCAAGGAACCAATCCAAAGCGTCGGAATTTAAAGCGATCAACGGCAAAAGAAAAGGTTGTAAAATTTTATAATGGTCGCACATGTACCGGATTATAACAAAATCCATTTCCTTTTTTTAATTTAAAATTTTTTTTAGGCCAAGTTTTTTATCGAAAAAAAAAACCGAATATACCGTTGTTCACGATTTTACTTCCTCTTTCCATACAGATCCATGATGATATATAAAAAACGAACTTTTTTTTTTCGAAAAAAACTCACTTAATTTTCTTAGTTTTTTCAATATATAAGTTTATTTTTATAAAAAAAAACTAATTATACCAAAAATATTAATTTTTTGTAATCTATTAATAAACATTAACAAAAAAAAAAAGATTCACAATATGAAAAATCTCGAACAGTTCAGATTCACAATGTGAATCTGAATTACTATTCTGCACACTGTGAATCTAAGAAGATTCACAAAAAAAAAAACCTCGATCAGTATAGATTCACACTGTGAATCTAAACTGTAAATATTTCAAATTTTAACATTCACAATGTGAAAAAGCTCCGATCAGTTCAGATTCACACTGTGAATCTGACTTATTATTATGCACACTGTGAATCTGAACATGTTTATAATATGAATCTGAACAGGTTCATAATGTGAATTTGAACTGAAATATCGTTTTTTTTAACATGAATATGAATTTATGTTTAAAAAGTACAAAAAATATGAATTTTGATATATTTATTAAATTTTTTTCTATAAAAAATAGACCTTAATTTTTTTATCAAAGAAAATGAAGTGGGTTTTTTTCGAAAAAACAAGTTCGTTTTTTATATATCATCATGGATCTCTATGGAAAGAGGACGAAAAATCGTGAACAACGGTATACTCGGTTTTTTTTTTTTTTTGATAAAAAACATGGCCTAAAAAAAATTTTAAACGAAAAAAAGTGGTGGGTTTTTTTGTAAATGGTGGATTTTATGGTATAATCTGGTGTGTGTGCGTCAAATGTAAAGGTGTACATCTATTTCCTTGGCCGTTGATCGTTATGATTTCCGACGCTCACGATTGGTTCCTTGGTTCCTTGGTTAATTATGGTTCTCTATTGAACCTCACCCTATATATATATATATATATATATATATATATATATATATATATATAGAAGAGGGTTCAATTGAGAAAAAAAAAGGTTGAGAATGGGGGAATCATTCTCAGCCAATCATTTAATTAGCATCTTAACTTAAAATACACGGTGGCAAAATTGTAAATATGATATGATATCCTTCAATCACAGATACATAATTGTGGATAATTTGATAACAATTCAAATTCATTACTACTCGATCGTTCATCATCCAAATTTCTTCTCCAACCTTCAACGATCATCCAGATTTCTTCAATTAAATCCTCGATCAACATCATCCAGTGTTAATCAATCATCCATCTTCATCAAAAACACGTTCATCAACATCATTCACCAGTAGACAAAAAAAATCGTTTTTGGTTCTTTCAATCCAACCTTCAATTATGCTTGAATTCGAGTATATCTTCAACATCTACGATTAATTATACTCTCAGTGTCATTAGATCAACATCATCGATAATCAACAACAATTTCACTTCATATCATTCATTCAACATCGATCATCAAACAAAACTTCTAAATTAAGGTTAGAAAAACGTCAAATCAATTTTTTTTTTGAAAAAATTTCATATAACTCTCTATCAATCTACTATTTTGTAAGTTTTAAATAGTCAAAGTATCATGTTTTTAGCATTTTTAAAAAAACTTACTTGTATGCACTCCAACT